GCCGGGCCGGGCCGTGGGGCCCCGCTCGGCCGCTGGTGTCGTTTCCTCGCTCCGCGGCCCCTCCTGGCTGCCGTCCCCAGGGAGCCCTTCCTTTCCCGTGGGCCTGTCCGTGGAGGGAGATGCAGAGAAAACGCGTAACCACCTTGCGGGCCGGCACGCAAGGTCAAACCGCCCCGCGAACACCCTTTGGTTCCGTCTTGCTCTTTCCCCTGCATCCTTTTTGCCGAGGGAAGCGCCTTGATTTTAGGGCAGCCGATTGTCCATTCAGAAAAGTACTTTGGTAGTGGTGGGGGTCTGGTTTGGCTTTTTGATTCCGTGGAGTTTTTTTAAGATGGTGGGAATTAGTGGTTGCTCTGAGTGTTGCAACTCTCCATCCACCTTCTAATAATGACTAAGAAAGGACAGAGGCTGTTGTACCAAGCTTTTCCTTTCATTTGATACTTACTTTGAAATTGTATTCATCTTACTGTTAGCTTTTCTTTTTCAGCAGTGGTAATAAATTGTTGTATCTTTTTAGCAGAGGCATAGCCATTGTAATCACACTTATTTCAGACACTTTTGGGTGGACAGTGAACATGCAGCAGAAGGCAGTAACTGATTTTTACACACAAACCACCCAAGGGAGACCATGAGTGCAGTGATGGCAAAAAGTATGTAAAATAGGTTAGTGATTTCTAATTTGGGTGCAAGAGGATCTGCTACTTCTCATGCTCACAAAACTGATGAGCTGATCTACCATTGCTTTTTACTCACTGTAGTCGTAAATAAAACTTATGGTGTTCATAGAAACAATTACTGATCATTTCTTTGTGCATCGGGCTGTGGTGTCGTAATATGACTAAACTGCTTAACCTTAAGGTTTTTCTCAAAGAAACTCCTCTGTTAGGCAAAACCTTTATAAAATATATGAAACAGATTTCTGTAATGAACGTTTGGGAAACAAGTAGTATTATTGCCTGGAAAAAATATATAGTGTCTTGAGGCTTTCTGTAATGGGAAAAGCTCCAAAGTCTTAGCAACTTTCTCTGTGTTTTGAGGCCTAACAGATAAGAACAGTGAGAAGAAGAGTCACCTAGTCTTTTTAGTAATCATGGACACAGAAGTTGCAGCAACTGATTTGAAAAAAAAAAAACAAACAACAAACCACCATGCAGCAGCAGTGATGTCTCTCTGTTGCCATTAGCAAATGAACTGTATTTATTTTGTGGATGCTTGGCAAAGAGAGAGTGGCAAAGTGAAGAGTTTGTGTAGCAGAGTGGGAGATAGAGGGAAGTGTCAAGCAAAATGGTTTCAAAGGTTAAAAGTAGATGACTGTGCACATACATGTGTTTGTCTATATATATGTGGAAAAAACACTGGACAATGAAAAGTGAATCTAGTGAGAGAAGTTTGGGTAAAAATATGAACACGGAAACAGGAGAGTTCTAAGATAAGAAGGATGGTATTTGAAAACTGTAGAAGTGAATGAAGAGATGTTGTTAGAAGCAAACAAAAGCCATCTTGTGTTGGTAGAGCTGCTAGTACGTAATGGCCAGGGGACTTACGTAAGTAAACTGATTATACTTGTATCTTGTCTAAATATCACCAGGCTGATGAACTGCTGAAACATCTCAGGTTTGATGTCGTCTTTGGTATGAAATTCATGGCAGCTTTTTAGGACATTGTTCGATATTATATATATTTTTTTATCTTACATTGGAATAAATATACAGTGCAACACCTTCTTAAAAACATATCTAAGGAGAACTTCTATAATACAGACCAGTACTGGACTTCTTCCACGCTCATATACACTGTTTGTTAAGTATACCAACTGTAAGACAACCTGGGTTTTTTTCCTGGTGTTGGCCAGAAGGGGCAAGAATTATACCTTGCACTGTTGGTCTCTCTTATCTATCGTTAGTAAATTGGTCAGATAATAATGGTTGCCTTTTATAGGACCTTTCTTTAATCTTTGCAAGGGCCAATTTCAGGTGTATTGGCTAGAAATTATGTTGGGATCTTTGAATGCACATAGCAAATGAACATCAAGGTAAAGGAAACGTTTAAGTGATGCAAAAACTTTTAGGGATAATTTACTAATCATTTAATGTTCCACAGCTCATTTCCATTTTATTTACTCACGTGGTTTGTTAGGTCCTATCTGTAGTTGATGTGTTTCATAAAGATCTACTGACAAATGCTACTTGTAAATTAAAGCCAAAGGAAAAGATTTTCTGATGAAAAACTTTCCGATTCTCTTAAAAAATTAGTTCCATCTGTATCTGTGCAGTAAAGCTGAGTGTCATTTCTCTGTCTTATGATGTCAACTTTCATCAGTGTTAATGTTCCATCACAAAGTAGATGGTAGTTCAAGAATTATGTTTATGGTGAAGAAAAAACTAGTTAGAAATTGAACTATTAAAACATCTGATAGTCACCAAGTTAATGTGACATCTGTTTTTTGAATTTTCTTTTGGGTGTATTCACACACAATTTAAAATCGGCTCGGTTGTTACCTTTTTCTGACAGGGGACTCTAAACTGATAAATTTGTAGAGTTAAAGTATTTAAAAATAATGACCTGAAACTTTTAATTAATAGTACCACTGCAATTTCAGTAATGCATTTTAGGGTTTCTTTTTTCCCCTAGAGAAAGTTGGGTAGTCCTCCTTGTCTGTGGGCTAAAATCTTAACTGTAAAGATGGGAAAAGGGGAGCCTTTTAAAATTGGCTGGGGAAGGGGAGAGAACTTTCTTAGAAGACAATTGGCCGAGCTCAAAGGCTTAGAAATGACTGTGGTGTGTGTTTTGGATTATCATCCCGTATTCCTCTTGCCTGAAGAGTTTTTGAGCATGAGACAGAGGAGTTTTTTTAAAAGCAGCTGACTACTTCAGTAGTTTGACAGATTAAATCCTTAAGAGCTGAAATAATATCGAAGTCACAAAGTTTGAATCTGCATCCCAGTTAAACAGTGCTTTTTTTTCCCTGTGTTTCTGTCTGTACAAATTGAATAGCAGTGATCAAGAAAATTAAAGTTGTCTTAGTAGGATTCTGCTTTAAGTTTTCTTTTTTGTTGTTTTTAGTAAGATTTTTTAAAATTTCATTCACATTTTACAGTAATTTAATGTGTCCTTTGATCATAGTATAAAGGAAGGTGACGACATGGTACAAATTTAGCAGTTCATCTTCCAAATGTCTTTGCAGAGGACTTTGGCGAGCAGTAAATAAAGGGGTAATCATGACTAACTGGAAGAAGATTCCTGTGTGCTTTTATAACGGTGAAAGTATTTCAGCTGTTGGGAAGATGCTAAGACTAGAGGAGAAAGAAGTGCTAAGCTGAGAGGAAAGAAAAGTGGCATAAAATGTATGAGAGGCTTATGTAAACAAATGATCAAGTGGTCACTTGAAAAAATTGTTTGTTCTGGTCACTGAAAGTGTTCTCCCACTATGCAGATACACACACACCATCCTGGATGACAATAAAATTAGTCAATATCTAAAGAGCAGGTTGTTTCTGTAAGTCTGTGGAAGGGAAGGAGAGGAGGGAAGGGGGGGGTGGGGAGAATAAGTGATCTTGAGCCCCACTGAGTTAAGTGGAGGAGGAACAGTGGTATAAATATAAAGGTGTGCTAGTTCAGGCATGCCATGAATGGGAGAGTTAACACAGAGACAGAGCTCTTGGCACATGAGCAGAGGGATTTTTAGAGAGAAGACACACCTAGAGTTCCTCTTTTATGAGTAGATGAATACATCATGATCATCCATCCATATACTTCAGGGAAATAGGATTATACAACATCCTAGAGCAATGTACTTTATCACCGGTTTTCATAGTTTTTACAGCTACCTTTTAACTTCACAAATTCACACTTTTTAGTATTTGCAGAAGACTACTGTTTGGCTTTGAAAATCCCAGAAAAGTATTGGCATTGTCAAAAACTTGAAGTATTAAACACGAAAAACTGATTGTGTGACTTTCGACACTTCCTGGATGCCCCATCCCTGGAAGTGTTCAAGGCCAGGTTGGATGGGGCTTTGAGCGACCTGGTCTAGTGGAAGGTGTCCCTGCCCATGGCAGGGGGTTGGAACTAGGTGATCTTTAAGGTCCCTTCCAACCCAAACCATTCTGTGATTCTGTGATGCTTGTCATGATTTTTCTCAGTTTCAAAGTATGTAACTATGTGTTCTGTAACTATGAGTTGTTAGGCCCTGGGGTGATCAATGTCTACAAACAGATAATGAGGTCAATAGTGCCCAGTAACTCCATGCAACTCACCACCTCTCCTGTCCTGAGTGAATACCATAACAGATGGAGCCCAAAGTTGTAGACCAAATGAACTCAATGAACATTTTATGGATATTTATGTACATTTTACAGACATTTTATGGGGGAGGGGGTGGTTAATGAGGATGTGTTGCGACAGTGTGGGACCTGAGCATGATGTAAATGGTACACCGTAAAGGGTGGCGAATGTGCTGGATTTGGCTGGGATAGAGTTAAATTCTTTAGAGTAGCTTGCATGGGGCTATGTTTTGGATTTGTGCTGAAAATAGTGTTCATAACACACTGATGTTTTAGTTAGTGCTTGAGATGCTGTGCAAATTGTAGTTGTCAGAACTTCAGTCAATTAATCCTGTTAGTTTATCATTGACCCACTTTCAGTTGGGAGTGACTCTTAATGTATATCCAGCCATACAGCAGCGGAGGGATTGGAACATGGAGCCTCAAACGTGTCCTCCGTGGGATGAAAAGGCATCCTGTAGCTCAGG